TTTTTAACAAGGGTTTCTCAAAGTGAATTAGTCTGTCTCTGAACGTTACCTGATCATATCCTTCTACCGTAGCCGGTTGTCCTCCTGTGGTGCAAGTTATGGCTACCGTAGCCCCTTGAGCGTGAGTATTACCGAAGCTTACGTCACTGTAGTCAAACCTTGAAAGAAAAGGATTTTGGTTCATGTTGATTCACTGGTAGGGTAGGAACGAGCCTACCTGTACTGATCACTTTGATCGACTGCTGAGACTGGGTAGAGAATAAGATCTGAGCATCTTGCGCCGACATTGCCTAGAATAATGAAGGAAACGGTAGCAAAAAATCATGCTTAGAGTGGAAAAGTAAAAAGGCTGATTTCATACGAAATCTATAATGAATCTATGAAAAATTGGTTCATCAGTCTCAAATTTACGATTTGAAAAATCATCCGTAGTATCGCTTATTTCAATTTTTTTTCAGGAAAAGCAAAACTGCCTGCAAAAATAATCTTTGGAAGACTCGTTTTGAACCAACCATGAAGATTAGTTCCTCCACGTTATACTGTTTTCGATAAAAATTTTCAATTTTCAGGCAGACCCTCTGTTCGAAAGTTGCTCGAAAATTCACTTCTAACTTTTTCCAACAGCTGCGATCAAAATGGTAGAATAATTTGTTCGGAAGTGAAAAGGCCCATCAATGATTCTATGACCCCATTCAATATTGAATGGGGACTAAATTGTGACCAGTACGTACCTGGATCATTACTCTGAACAAAACCCGGCGGTGCACAGGCATTGGCAAATGCGAAGAGCAGAAACGGTAACAAGGATTCCATTTCCTTGAAGGAGACACCTGCTGCTCAGTTTGGAATTTCTGAATGAGGTAAGAAACTATAAGAGTCTGGTATCAGGATTCGGAGATTGAAATCAAGGATTATTTGGATGTCAGCAAACATAAGTTGATCGTCAATACTTAGATAGAGATTCTAGAATATAGATATTTGGACAACACACACGCCATAATGAGAGCTCCACAAGAAGGAGTGCATAACGCAAAATATACGAGAGTAAATATTTTAGAACAGTAAAATGATTGTACAGCAAAAAAAAAATCTGTATAAATG